AATGTTTCTAAATGTTTCATGTAGAAGAAGCACGGACCCTGTATTTTGTTTCTTTCACTCAAGAGACATGTATAAAGCATTTCCTATTTGGCACTATTCCAGGTGCAAAGCTGTTGTTATTGGGTGTTATCAATTCGATTTTCAATACTGTGACCTCATGTAGCAAAGTAGAACTGTTCTACAGGATTTTCTAGGCCATAATCTTTATGAGAGCTGATTGTCAGGTCTTTCTCCCACAAAACCACTGGATGACTTCAAACTGCCAACCTTTTGGTTAGCAGCTGCGAGCTTAACTGTTGTGCCATTAGGGTTCCTTCAGGTGCAGAGAGTGGGGAGCAAATATGGGTAAGACATACACACTGGGAAGACCAGGTTCCTAAGGTCCTTGTTTCTACTCAACCATGAACATTGCATTTCTTGGCTTGGCCTTGCTCATAGAAGTAAATCACCTGGTCAACACCTACAGTCTCACCTGCTCCCTGATGCCTTCCCACGAGCACATCTGCTCCGGCCATGCAGCCCATTCCCAGGATGCAGACGACAATGCCGATGAAATGCACAGCCTTGTACCGAATCAGCAGGAAGAACCAGGAAAGCAAAATCACCACCGGGATCACAAAACAATCCAGGAGCTATTGGGAGGGAGGAAGAGTAGGAGAAGTTGGTTATGTGATAGAGAAAAATAATTCAGCTCTGTGTAAAGGGTTATATGTTTCCCCTGATCCTGAATTTCTCTTTGTATAAAACCAGAATTGATGTAGTTAAAACAGACTCTTTGAAACAAATGCAAATTAACTACTTTTTCATTTAATTGTAAACATCCTCCAAGCCTCAAAATCAGTAAGACAGGCTAACAGCAAGGCAAAGATTCCTCTGTCCCTTCTGTGTCTGGGGCAGCTCTGCCTCTTGTCTTCCTCAGAACGATGGCTGACTGCATGTGAACACACGAGGGAAGAGGTAGATATGCCAAACCATTTCAGATTGTCCAGTACCTTAGCAGAACATCTGGGAAGGGACAGTGAGAGTAAAGAGGTCTTACAGTGCTTTATAAATTATTAGACTATAGACAAAAGAACATCTAGAAGTTTAATTTCTCTCAGACCATTGTCTCTCTACCACCAGTAAGTTATAATAAGTAATTTATAGTAAGTTATGTCCATGTGACTTACAGACAGCTTGTACTTACCATTTGTGGTTCTTATTTGTTAGGGACTATCATGTTGGTTCTGCCTCATAGTGACCCCATGAACAATAGGATGAAAGATTGCCTGGTCCTGTGCCATACTCACAATTGTTGCTATGTTGCAGCCACTGTGTCAATCCATCTCATTGAGGGTCTTCCTCTTTTTCATTGACCCTCTATCTTTACCAGGGTCTGGTCCCTCCTGATAACGTGTTCAAAGCACATGACATGAAGTTTCATGATCCTAGCTTCTAAGAATCATTCTGGCTGTACTTCTTCCAAGACATTTGTTCATTCTTCTGGCAGTCCATCGTATATTCAATATACTTTGCTAACAATAACTCACAGCCACTCCTCGGAAGGAAGATGGGGCAATCTACTTCTGTAGTGATACTGCCTTGGAAACCCAAGGAGGGGTCGCTA